TTGTTTTCGGATCAGGTCTCGTCGGGTGTTTTCTGCGAACCATGACTTGATGCCGAGCCTCTCGTATCCAAGATCCGAAATCCCACCAAGTCTGACACATTGCTCGCAATGAGTCTGGCAGCTTTGCTTCAGTCATGCTTGCATGTGTTTCATCCTTAACAGTAATCAAATACTCCAAGACCCCACTGCCAATTCTGACCTCTCCCCACCCTAAAGCCAGGAGTCCCCATCCAGGATCTCCGACAGAAATCCGGACGCTCTGGGCGTGTTATCCCACTGCAAGGCCTCACTTAACCCCAAGCTCTGAGCCTTGAAGCCATGAGTCCCAAGTTACAGTGTCCATGGCCTTCCTTATGTGCGCACAAGATTCCTGAAAATGAGCTCTTGCCATCCAACCTCCAATGACATTCAGCCAGCCCTTTCAGAAACTCAAAACTACAACTGCAGTCCCAAAATCTTCCCAATCTGGGGAAGCTTTTCAGACCCAGGTCTAATGGCAAGGGCGGCGGCAAAGGCGGCGGTGGAAAGTCGAAAGGCGGCAGTCGAGGCCAGGCCGGAAGTGTGGAATGGGTTGTATAGGGAATATATAGGGTACATATTTGGGGTATAACATGGGGGTTATATAGGGTATATATTTGGGTTATAATATAGGGGTTATATAGGCATAATGGAAAATAAAATGGAAACTACTATAGTATATTGGGGCTATATAGGAAGCCACACCAAGAGGGGACGGGGCTCGGAAGACCAAGGCCAAGGTTGAAGACCGTCCCTGATGTCCGCCACAGATATTTCAAACATGCTCACAAATCCTATCATTCTGGGTACTTGCTGAGTACTGTCACTACCGTTGCGCCTCTGCTGCTTGTCTTATATCTAGCGTTGTTGCCAGTATGCGGACTATTGCTAGTACCGTGGCCAGGACGTTTGTAATCGCTCCAGCTGGTACTGGCCTGATGGCTGGTGTTGTTTCTGGTTCCGACATTGGATCCCGAAAGTAAACGCAGAACTGGAGCTGGAAACCCTACATGCCCCTTTCACTCTGCATCAGGCGCTGATGCTCCAAGTTGGCGGCGAGATGGTCAGGCTTGCTTCAAACCAAGTAGAAGTGCCGGGTGGCGTAACCCCTATATAACCCCTATCTACCCTTTTTAAGGGGCCTAGGGTTTCCATTTTCTTTTCCATTATAACCTCTACATAATCCCACCATTGGTATTCCTAATGGCCACTGTCCTTGGTTTGACTCCGGAACCTAACTCCTGGGCAGAACAGCTGGGAACATTTAGAGTAAGAGCTGGCAGGCCACCACCAATGGTAACGCGACACTTGGCTTGACGGGGTGGCTAAGGCTTAGTTTTCTAAGCTTTGAATCAGGTCCCGAAAGTTCGCGGTTTTAGGGCGTCAAGTGTGTGTAGAGGCTTTGGGATGGGCTTCGTTTGACAGCTGATTCCCTTCCAAGTCCCACACGTCGCCGCTTATTCTGTGCCAGGTTTTTGAAGTGTACATATCGAAGTGTGCGTGCAGTCAGAGTGGAGAGGTTTCGCTTTGCTGAGGACCTTGGGATATACCAGGATCCTATCAAACAGCATTCACGCTTGGTACACGTTCTTCAACATGATGTGCACACCAGCAGCTGCTGCAGCCGCATGGAAGATCCCCTACCTCCAATCACTTGAGCAGATCATGGGCGACTGGGCTCAGTCTTTGTGAATTGGTGAATCAAAGCCACAGAACCCACAGACAGAGTCAGCACCCATGCCTGAATCAGTGAACCCCTTGGGAGCATACACCGAAGCCCATACACATCCAAGGAGAAATTTTTTCGGGGGCGGAGGCCAGGCAAGCAATCGCATTATGTGCGTTCATGTAATCAGACCTGGGCAAGTAAATCTATCCAAGCGGAAGGGATGGACCTAGCTGCTTGCAATCTGCAATAGCTCCTTGGTACTTACCAGTCTTCTTCTGTGTAGATGATGTCCAACAGGCTTGGGCAGGTGCCAAGCCCAAGCCAAGACACTTGAACCCAATCGAGAACTCAGATGTACCGTAAGCAAAGCGACGATAGGATGCTGGCTTGCTAAGCCCGAAGGGATGCTGTGCATTCTGAGAGGAATTCTCTCGGATGTTTCTGAGAAATATTTGGAGGCATGTCATGTGGCCCCTTCACCAGGGATAAGGGAATCACACGGATTTGGCTAGGGTGCAGTTCAAACTTCACTGTGTGGCACCAACGCTCTTTTAATTGCTTTGCTTTGGCTTGACTTTGCGGCTGTCAGTCCTGCAGACTCAGCTGCTTGGCTGAAGTCACTCCCTTTGACACAGGTTGCCATTGCAACCAAGGAAGCATCCTCGTTCGAAGGAGAAAAAACCCTGGTCACCAGACTAGACCTAAGGCGCACATGAACACCGCACTCAATTTCTCGTCCAGAAGCTCCCTGAAGCCGCCTGCGCTTGCAAGACCAGGGACAGCACTAGCCAGTAGATCACAGAACCGCCGCACTACTGCATGTGAATGCACATGCCGACTTTTACTTTCGTGAGCGGCACAAATATCTTTTGCATAAGAGCTGCCATGCAAATCCTACCCGGTGGCATTACCTCAAACGATTAAACATTGCTGTAAGCATATGCTCACCTGGAGATAGCTCGTAACTTTGTTGTTGAGCCTTGAACCCAGGGCCACGAAGGCAACAAGCACAGTTACATTGACCAAGTCAATATTATCTCATGGCGCCTAACCCTCAGCCAGGAACCCCTGCACCAGAAGTTGCAAACCTGACCGCCAGGCGGAGGCAAGGGCCAAAATGGCAAGAGGCTAGGAGCTCAGATCAATCCTGGGGCCCAGATGCCATGAAGGGATCATTGGAAAAGCGGATCGAGTGTTTAAGTTTTGGGGTCTATGGCATTGGTTATAAACCAACTTGGGGGTATTCACATTGCATCTTTCAAGCAGCCATGAGCCTCGAATCTTCCGCGGCTGGTGAAATTTCCGAGCGACCTTGTCCTTCCATGGGGTGGATATCAGGGTGCTGGGGCAGAGGCTTGGGGTTTTTTCGCTGAACCACAAACTCTAAATCCTAAACACTTGATCTGAACTCTGCATGGGGTGGGGATTTGGGATTGGAGGCCTGGGCTTTCCTCCACTGGGGTAGTGGAAGGTTTTGATTCTTGGGCCCTTGAGGTTGCCAAAGGGATTTCCAGATATTCGAGTTCCTGCCTCCGAGGGTGGCCCGGAACACTTGTTCATGCATGAGCGCACGCCAAAACATGAAAAACAACAACTCTACGCATAGCACAGCCAGCGCAGCTTCAAAGGAAAGTCGCATGTGCCTCGATGTGTACTGCATTGTAGCGGGAATGTCTTACATAATAGGTAGGGCATACCTTTTCAGGATCCCCCATATGTCTCCAAACCAAGCCCCTTTAGTCCTGAACTAGGAGAAGTTTCGGCGATCGTGCGTCATGACATGTCCCTCTTGATAAAGAAGAAAAACTTGCAAACACAAGAATTTCATCACACCCTGCGGCGGTGCTATGGTAGCAGAAGATTTCAGGTGCGTCTAAGCCGCCAAGCTATGAACAGCCATTGCTCAGGCTCCCAAATCTGAAGTCCTACGTAAACCAAGGGCCCTACTGAAAACAATCTACATGTCATAGCGCAGAGACCCTTACGAATCTGCTTGCAGTCCTCGTTACAATTGCAACCACCATCGCCGTAGATTTGGTAGTTTCCATAAATAGGGACCCCAATATGGATCCAAAGATATTTTGATCTTTCAATCCTTTTTACGGCGATCCCCAAAAACATACACCTTATTTTGAAAAATCCCTTTTGCTTGAGGTCCAGGGACTGGTAGCTGAAGCTGAGCTGTAGCTGAAGCTGAGCTGTGGCTGCGAGCTCTGTGATGGGTCGAGTACCTATGAGTAGGGATACGCCTCAGCAGGAAGTAGGAATTCAATAGAGACCATGCAGGGGCAGTAAAGGGAGCTTTCCATGTATCAAGTGACATCAAACAACTGGGACCCCTGACAAATTTCCTATACAGTCTCACTGACGCTGGGAAGGATAGAAGCCAGGGGTAAACAATTCTAGAAGCAATACGAACGACAAGTTGTGCGAACTCAAATGCGGGCAACAAACGTAGCAATTTTGGCCCTCCGGCCCTCGTCCGGTCGCAGTAGTAGGCGAGATCCGCAGTTTTCCTCGCTCCTGAGCACCGCAAAGAAACCAATGCGGTCAGCCTCAGTGCTAGTTGTATGAGTATAGGTGATGAAGGTCCATATGACTACTGCAATCGCAGAGGGCAGATTTACTCCGTCACAATCCTGACCTCCAAGAACAAGCGTATAGCGGGTGCCTGGGAGAGATTCTCGCCCACCAGTCTGCAACAACAGGCTACAGTCCTGTGCAAATGGCATCAGGTTTAAGATTCATCAAAGCACGAGATTCTTGGCACATGATGGTTGTGTTAGGGATGTGGAGCCTGGAGCTCAAAGAATATGGCTCTCTTTTGCATCTAGGTAGAGGTGAGCAGCAAATCACGTGAACCATCCAGTCCTTGATTCCAAGACACGTTTGTCTTCACTCATTTGAGCTGGCCGCTGTGTGGAAGAAGCTAGGGGAGTGTTGCAATATCAGTTTCAGTTCCGTTTGGATAGTAGTAGTGGTGACAAGGAGTAGTGCTGACCGGCTAAGATTTGAGTTCAACAGGCATGACCTTCCAGGATTCAGGGCCGAGAAGAGCCTTCATTGCACAGGCCGGAGTAGCCTGTTTCTGCCCACCAAGTGCTTGGAGGCTGATTGCGCCAAGCAGGTTGCAATCGATCAGAATACGGGTTCTTTATGGAGGACGCAGAAACGTGACCGAACGCATCCATGCATCTGTCTTGGGTCTTTTTTTGCGAAGGTTCTGACTTCCTTTGCTCATTGCAGCTGAGGATTTTGGATCAGGTGTTGAACCCTTGCAATCTTTGTAGATCCCCATCTCCTGTACAGCCCCATGATGGATAGCGGGAGCTGGATCGAGGTGTCTGAGGCGGATGTGTCTGAGGCAGATGTGACGCCTGAGGCTGTGACGCTTGAGATGCAATCCCGTGACAGTCCCCGCAGAAGGACGGATGTGAAAAGATCATCCAGCTGCCCTGCTGGTTTCGAGCAGGGTGGGCGTATAGAACTCAGATGCACTAAAAATGGATCATCTGGTCGCAGTGACACTCCTCGTGGTGGTGTGGTAGCATCTGTTGAAGTCGTGAAGGCCCCATTGCCTAGCCCATCGACTGTGGTCTTGGACTCTCTACGCACTTCACTTCCACAAGATTGTGAATGCCAAGGGCAATGTGGTTCGCTTGGACAATCTGCTTGCAATGACACTCCTCATGGTAGTGTGGTGCCAGTTGTGACGGAGGCCCAGATGACGAACCCATTGATTGCGCCCATGAGCTCTACAAGCTCTCAACGTGCTTCGCCTGGGCGGAATGACACTCCCCGCAGTGGTGTGGTTCCAGCTGTCAACGGGACAAAGGCCCTGGTTGCTACCCCTCATCCTCACGACCCTCCAAGACCAGGGGACAAAACGGTTTGGGCAGGCAAGTTGCTCGCTTGGGCCCTTGGAATTGCGTTTTTGGCCGTGATCGCAGTCTACAAAGGGTCGTGGTGTAAACACGACTGTGAAGGACTGAAATTTCACTAACTAGCGTGAGGGGGTTTTGCATAGCATCCGAAGAAAGTATACATTTTTTTGCCAGATAGCCTTTCAGGACATTGGGTGGAGTCCAGCTGTTCGCAATCCTGCGGTGGCGGACAGATGCGAAGAGACTTCATCATCACTGCCTCTCCGAAAAATGGTGGTGAGGCATGCCCACAGAGCTACCATATGCTTTGCAACTCTCAACCTTGCGTGGTTGATTGCGAGCTGTCGGAGTGGATCGCAGAGCCAGCCGGGTGTAGCGCTTCATGCGGTGGCGGTGTCCTGACAGAAGTGAGAAGCATCAAACAAGCTGCGCTTTTTGGGGGCCGCTGCGCTGATCAGTCATCGCCAGACAGGCTTCGCGAACTTCCATGCAACATTCATCCTTGTCCTATCGACTGTGACCTCTCAAGCTGGAAGACGGATGATGCTGGTTGCAGCAAGTTCTGTGGCAACGGGACCGCAAGGCAAACACGTTCCCTCGAGCGTGAAGCTGCTCATGGGGGCACATGCCCAGACCCTGCTTCAGAGCACAGAGAGCGTTGGATTGCATGCAACATGCAGCCGTGCACCGCTGTTGCGGTTGTGCAGGACGTGCTGAAGGGCTCTGCGCTTGCTGTTGCAAGTCTTCAGGATTTCGACGTTGCGATCAAAGAGTTGGGAGCAAGAGGCGAAGTTTTAGTGCGGCATTACCCTCGATTCAACTGTTCCGCCGGAATCACAGCTGACATGAGGGAGTCTGTGGCGGTTTGTGTGAAGAACAGCATGCTTACTGACAGTGCGATGGACATCAAGATGCAAGTGAACAATGCTTCCAAGCAATGTGCGCTTCTCAGCAGGAAGTTTCGATTGCTCATGGCTGAGATGAAGCGCAGTTTGCCTTTCCTCGTGTGGCGCGTTTGTGAGAACGATCTGCCGGGCGCAAACAGCACCTTTGCGATCTTGCTGAAGCATGTGGATGTCCTCGTTCATCACTTGACGGTGTGCGATCATGCCGTGCAGGAGCAAAGCTTTTTTGGATTGCAGGAACAGAGCGGGTATGACCTAAGATGTGTCACGAAAGATTTGAGAAACGAAAAGGTCCAGTAGCCTTTGCAGGTGCGGGAGATTCCTGACAGGCTCCGCCCCCTCGGTCTGTATTCTTCACTGTCTGCGCAATGCAAGAACTACCAGTCTAGTCTCCCAACTGTTATCTTGTTTCGTTGTGTCAAATGTCTGGTACATAGTATATGCGCTCGGCAGCTCATGGTTCTCAATAGTTTTTTCTTGCCTTTCGGTGATGCTGCTGTTGCATGGTTTTCTTTGGTGTCTTGGCACCAGTGCTTGTCTAACCTGGCTACTGCTTCAGGATGCTTGCAAGCGCCTTCAACCTTATTGTGGCACTGCCATTTGCCCTACGTCCCTACGTGCCTTTCTGTGCATGTGGGGCAAGTATAGTGTACTGACATGCCATCATCTTCAGCTTGTTCTGAGTTTTGCAGGGTGAATGATTTTCAGCAACAGGCTCCTACAGTGGACCGACCCTGCTGGGCGACATTTTTTGCTCAGCTCCGCGTCTCGTGCTTGGGAAGATATGTTTGTGGGGCACGTGGTGTGAGTTCGCTCTGCACAGTGGTTAGCAAGGTTTCGGCTGCCAACTTGCGGTGGCCGGTACTGTATGTGCCAGTTGTGACATGGAATATTCCGAGAGCACAATGATTCATCCTCAACACATTTTTCCAGTGTACCCTCCTACTACCACTGGCTCTACTTGGTATGATTTGTTCTTCTACGCTGCGACAGTGAGTGCTTGCATTTGCTGTGAAGCCTTGCCGCGCAGAATTTCTTGCCGCGCTGAACATATGTAACACGTCAGCTTTTTGCAGTTGTGTCGCTTCTGTGGCTACTTCAAAACGCGCTACTTTGCCTCTGCTGATGCCAAGATCTTAGCACACATGACTTCTCATGTGAGCATTTGTCCTGTATACATGAACCGGATGCTTTTACCAAAATCGCGTCGCCGGTCCTGTGCTGCATGGATCGTGCATCCCAAATTCTGCTGCAGGGGAGCAAGACTGTCCCCGTTGATGCAACAAGTATCCCCTCTTCGTCAGGATCTCCAGACAAAAGGCGACATGTTGACCACCGAGCACCATGGACACCGGGAAGATAGAGCCTTGGATCTTTATGAGGTGCCCCACTCCCACCTAAACCCCAAATCGTAAATAGCAGTTTCCATTTTCTTTTCCATTATCCCTATATAACCCCTATATATATATATGAATTTGCCTTTGGCATGGTAGGGCCTTGGCATGTTGCTTGAGCCCGAGGCGAGCGCCGCTTAGAGAAATTGCATGCAGCTTTGAACCACAGCGAGGAGCAGGGTACGTTGCTTCGGCTGAATGCCGGGGCCATATCAGCTGATTTGCAGAAGGCGCCTTGTCTCGCATCACGTGTTGGCTTTCAGTTGACCATGCTTGCCACATGCAACTCAAGTTAAACTTTGCTTGCATTGGCTCTCAGCCTAATGGTGAGCGTCAGTAAGTGTATCTGGGCATTGCGATTGCGCAGCCGAACATGTCCACGAGAAATCTCTTGCCGTGCAATTGCCATTCCAACTCCAATATCTTCCTAAAGGGTATTGTAAGTGGCATCAAGTACTCCACCTCCGTTACTAGTCACCACTGCTTCTGCTATTTGCAACATTTTATGTCAGAGCCAGGGTTCTGCTTGTCTTGGTAAGGCAACAGAGAAGATTCTTGCCAAGAGGGCTGCACTGAAGCGGAGCGAAGATGACAGGCAGAAGCTCCGAGTACAACGGCAGCAGCAGTCAGAAAGCAACGTTGCGGAGCTGGTGAAGTTGCATGCAGAGGCTGACCAGTTCAGAAGCGCAGCTGATCTCGATAAGGCTGTGCAGGGTAAGAAACGTAATGAAGCCAAGATTCGAGAAGCCGAGAATGCAGCCATGGAGGCAGAGCGGAATGTGGCTGCCGCGGAGCAGGAGCACGCATCCAAAGAACAAGAGTACCAGAAAGCAGTTGCTGCAGAAGAAGCAGCCATAAAACGTTTCACAGATGAGGTCGCTGCAGCCATGCAGACACAAGCAACTTCAAGGGAGTTGCAGGACCATAACCGCGTGCAGGTCATGGAAGCAGGTCAACATTTGCAGACTGTCCTGTTGGACTACAAGAATGTCATTCGTACAATGAAAATGGCCGAGCTCTCACATCCTGAGGGCCTAAACAGCGTCTTTGCCGGTCTGACTGGACGCCTCGTTGCATTGGAAGGCTTACTCCCACAGCTGCAAGACTATCTCAGTCAGCTGCGTGACGAGGAAGGCCGTATGCCTACAGGGCCGAGTGGCTGCACCCAGGCGAAGCACGTTGTTTCCAACATTGTGCATGCCTTCATGGCGTAGTCGTGAGATTTGCTCTCAATATGTGCAGTGTTGTGTGTCCACACTTGGAACAGGTGGCCCTAGCCTGCACGGTAGGAGTTCTGGTCTCGAGTCATTTCCTTGAGCTGCTGAAAGTTGTTTATTGATATTCTCGTGCACGAGTGCCAAGGCACTGTCAGCATTTCATCCACTGTACAAGTTGTTTCGTTACACTGGTGCAAGGGGTAGTTGTACAGCAGCTGCGTAAGAAGTTCTTTCGTGGCAGCCCCCCTTCCCATGATAGCCGCGTGTCACACCTCACGCAAAGCTTCAGCAGCCAGTTCCTGCAATGAGGCTCGGCCTGAAAGAGGGCGGCCCTTTACAGCCCACAGGTGCCTCATTTATTTTCAGAACCTTGCGGCAGGGCTTAGAACATGGAGCAACACGGTTGGAAATGCTTAAGCTATGACAGAATACGATGAGGACCGTTGGCCATAACTATGTCAAATGGAAAAAAGGCCCAGGCAGCGCTTCTATTGTGCCTTTGGGGCGAGTGGATTGCCAACTCCTTCCTCGAAAACGCTATCAACAGCACTCCTTGTAGAAAAGTTCCTTGATCGTGAGAAGGAGCATGCTTGCTACCACGTAGTGTTGGCAGACAACATTTGCTTGCCAGCTTCCACTTGGATGTGAGCATTTTGCTGGGATGCACGCATGCACATTGCACCAGCAGGTGCATCTTGCGGCCACACCTAGAGGTGTTCGGATCTCTGAAGCACGTGATTGATTTGGCCACGTTTCTGCGCTTCCGAATGCAGCTTTCAGCCATAGGACAACTAGGGCATGTGCACATGGTCAGAGCCCAGCACCTTCATGTCCATTCCGAGTGATGTGCTCCAGAGATTTGGGCTTCTTCTGGATGGCCAATCTAGCTAGCAATGTCAGCAATGTGAGTCTCATGAGTACGCTGCAGTTTACTTCAGGAACATTTTCTCGGACAGCCCCCTTTTCCGCGGAAGATGGGCGCTTGCTTGGGCTTGGCGCGTGAAGAAGGCAGGCCCGTCCAGGCAGTTTGACAGGAATGAGTGGAACGTTGCGGAGTTCCTGACAGGAAAACTAGACAGTTTCTTGTGGCGATCAGTATCTATCTACTGTAGCTCGGATTGCCGGGTCGTTGCGAATAGAAACATTGCTTGAATGTCGTTGGGTGTTCGGACAACATGTTATGTCGCGGAATATATAGGATGACCGGCAAGTATTTTGGGGTTTGGTTCCATAGAGAGCGCCTCAAGCTTTGCGCTTTCGCAAGTTGGAGAACTTGGGCAGTGTTGGGAAACGCACAGACGACCTGTCTGATTTTTTGGAAAGACTGTCTCTTTTTTCGTTGTAACCCTTGCCCTGCAGAAACTTTTGCAGCAGGCATCCATTTTCATAAGCAGAGTGGGTAATTGTGGTTGTTTGAATCCGTTGAGGGTTTACAATGTCCGTTCTCTCAACATATCTCTGCGATCTGCATGTGAACCCTGTCCTGGATCTTTGCGCCCGTAAGATCCCTTTATCCTGTCCTAGCCATGTGTTGCCCAAATGGTAGCTTCCCAGAGCAGCTACTTCCGAAAAACTCTCAAATCCCAAGCATCATCCCAAGCATCGGGTGGAAATATCCGCTCTGAACAGGAGGGCGCTGCTGCGATTGGGGCTCCTGGAGCAGGTTCGTTTGAATGGTTTAGGCTTTTGGGCCTAGGCCATTGGTGGGGGTGGGTGGATACGACTCGGCATGCGGGTTTCAGTATTCTGAATGACATGCTTGCGCCCTAGGTTCTTTGCGCATAGAAAGATATCTGGTCGGAAGCGCTGAGGACCCATAATCCCCCTTAAGTAGATAAGAATATGTGGTATCTGGGGATCTTATTCTTACATACACAAAGCCATATTCTTTCTACTAAAGTGGGACTATAGGTCTAAGATAGTTTGCCTTTGTTCTTTTTGTGGATGCTCCTTGCAAAGGCTGCAAGCAAGCCGCAAGGGCTACGCATTGGATCAAGGTACATTACAATCAGAATAACCGGCAAATTTCTGGGGGGTACAAAGATTTTGGTAGAGATTTGAGGTTGATGCAAGGCTCCTGAGGTAGGCTTCCCGGATGTTCCAGGACAGTTTCTTGTAGATTTAACTTTGACACCTAGTTTGTGCCGCGTGCAGCCTCAACCCTTGGGACTATTGGGCATGTTGCGCAGTGTTCTTGTGTGATCAGCCAGCCCCAAACCCTGCCCTCCAAGTCGCTGGAGCTTTCTTTCCGACGCTGTGCAGTGGGAAAGATGGGAGTGTTGAGTTGCTGAAAGGCCTTGACCCCAACACCCTCCCCAGCGTCCATGCTGATGACGCTTTTCGCAAAATACTGTTCTTGTGTTGTGGGATGAGGATTTAGAGTTTCAAGTGAGTATCTAGATTTTATCGAACATAGGTTGCGACTTCAGTAGCAATCCCCACCTCAGCCCGGGATAGGCAGACCGATGCCGCGCCGATGGAAGATGGGACGTCCGAGGTGTAGAATTGGAGTTGCTTAATTTTTTCGTGGTGTGGGATTGCGCATGACCTGCCGATTCGTTGCAGTTAGGACTCTAGAGGGCTGTCACCCATTGGGGGAATATTAGGGGTATATTGGGTTTATATTGGGAGAGTAGAAAATTACAGGAAACTGCTATTTAGGGTTTGGGGTTTGGGGTTCAGGGATTTGGGCTGCAACTCGGTAATTTTTGGGTCAGACTGCAGGCTGTCGGAGTTTTTTTGGCTGGAGTTTGGTGGCCCTTCAAGTTGTCGTCGGCCGAACAAAACAAGGATCCCCCAGGCCAGCCAGCTATTATTATTACTATTATTATTATTACTAGTATTATTACTATTATTATTACTATTATCATTACTATTATTCTTTCTATTATTATTACTGTTATTATTATTATTACTACTACTACTACTACTACTATTCTATATTGCCATTGTGGCTATGATTACATATTATTACCATGAGTACTTTTATTACGATTATTCAAGTTCATGATTATTGCTATTATTACCATAGTTTACTATATAACCATTATTAAGGTTAAATGTACCATGATTACCATTATTTGCGACTATATGCTATTATGATTAAGCCTTACAAACGTTCAGCCTGAACCTTGGCAGGCCTGGATTCGCATGCCTTCTGGGCAGAAGCGCGGAGGCGCAGCCCCCAAATCATAGTATAGTAATCATGGTACATAGTAGTAATGTAATAGTACTGATGGTAACTTTGAACATAATGGTAATACTGATAATAAGCGTAGTAATAGCAGTAATCAAGGCAATATAGTATCTCATGGTTTTCATGATAACAATAGTATTAAGACTTCAGATCAAGCGTGGCTGGGTCCAAGGTCTTCATGCTCGCTTCATGGCTGTACCTGTTGATATCATTGAGCTTCTAAACAGTCGGTGGGGAGGCGGAGGTCTGGATTGTCGTTCAGGGTTTAGCGCAATGAGTTCAGCGCTGGAAATAAAGGCATGTAATCTGGGGCACTGTAGTATGGATTGGAGTGCCGCATGAGTCCCATGGTTTTTTCGCCAGAATATTACCCATCATGAATTTCAATGTTGCCTCTCATCAACGCCCTGACAGAAGATGTTTGCTATAAGTACTTAAACTTCATGAGTCACGTTTAGATCTTAAGGGGGATAAGGAGTCCAAGTCTCAGTGGTGTGACGGCCTCGACGAAAGAATCCATATCGGCAAGTGCCATCCTACTACATAGACATAGTCTCTGCAACATGGTGCAACCGGAGTGTGCGATAAAATTGTATGTTTTGGACAAAGTATGACAGGTTGAAATGTCTTGGGTAGCAAATTTCCTGTTCAAATTTGGCAAAACCACCTGCAGAATGAGGCAACCCAAGCACATCAAATCTGCAAAGCTTTGGGGTTCTGCTTAATATAACAAATATAACCCCTATATAATCCCGTTATTGTACACCAATGATATACCCTATATGGAAACTCCCGAAAACCCCATTTGATTGGGATAAAGCAGTAGGATTTCTGGATTCCAGGGGGGTCTTTGCTGTGCCCTCACGAGGTTAACAGAGCACTTGGCTCCAAACTGGACCGAGAAGCTCGGAAGGACTGGCTGCAGCACTCGGGGAGCTTAATTTAACTAACCATATTCTCCCCCTACAATGGAGAATCAAATGAAAAAGAACATTGAACATGAAATGGAAACTCGCGGGAATGTAAGGCTTTTATCATACACGGTTTCTTGTGGTCTGGGAATTGGACCTCATCCAGGAATCGGCGGGATACTTGTGGGCAACAGCTTTTGTGTATTCTGTTTGTGTATTTGCATTCTGCAGGGATTCGATTTTGTAGCTAGGAACATACTCTCTGGGGTGAGTGGGTGCTCAGGTCAGTTTTCTTGGCATGGTGCTTGTAGCCTCGGGAAGACTGCAGGGAACATCTCTTCTCGCGTTCAATGGCTTGCCGTTCCCCTTGCAAGTCTTAATGGAGCAGCCGCACAAAATCACAGGTTCTCGCAGCAGAGCCCTGTTTGCCTGTTTCTGGCTGAACCCCGCCTGCGCATGCCAGATTCTGAAGCCCTGCTGCACAGGTTCTAAACCCAAAATCCAAGGAGCAAAAGTGCAGCATCCAGCATTCCGGCATGAAGCTCGAAACCCTCAACTTGGCCAGGGGCGGAGCATCTTTTGAACTTGCGCCCCTGAGCCACGCAAGCTGAGAGGCGTGAGCAGATGGAGGAAAGTAGGAACGGCGGGCAGCTGTTGCTCATAAAGGATGTGATGGCCCAGTAAAACAGGACTCTTGACACCTGACACGTCGCCAATGTTCACGTACCATTCGTGTGGTTTTGTTGCATGCAAAGACACGCTTGGATTTCTGGTAGCTCTGAGGGGGTTGCCCCTTCGTCACGTCTAAGCATGAGCAGCTCCTCAAAAGAATCTGCTCTGCAGGGCTTTTGTACCAGCACAAATGCACTGCAGCTTGTTAACTTTAATTG